GGACCCAGATTTTAGTTATTTTTATTCTACCTCCTAGCAGTATCTGAACTAAAATAGATACTTAGTGAATGTTAGTGGAATGAAAGAACTAATGACTCCATGTTTCTGAATCCTTCTTCCCACCATTACTTCCTTCTTTAGCTTTAGGGAGGGCTGGGGAGATGGCTCAGTAGAATAAGTGCTTCCCTGGCAAGCGCAAAGGGCCTGAGTTCAATCCCCGGTTCCGCCAAAAAATAAAAAAAAATAAAAATAGCTTTAGAGAGACTGAGCAAGGGGCCCCACAAGGCTCCCTTTGGGTTCTGGTTCCCCCTTCTTTGCTGCACTGCTTGGTTCAGTTCTTTTCCCACTGCCCAGCCTGACCCAGTAGCTGGACCAGTGTCTGAGAAGTGCCACTAGGGGGCGGGTGTGACCAGCCTTACAGTGGTCTGTGGTTTCTCCTGCTTCTGTGCTATAAAAGTTCATTTTGGATATAAGAGAGAGGAATAATGTATATGATGTGAACAAGGGGGGCCAGGCCTGCACCAGCAGCCAGCTGTCTGTGCATAATCTCATCCCCATTCATAATAACTCATTTTATAGGAGTGGACACTGAAGCTTTGAGAAGTTGTTATTTGCTCAAAATTCCTTCCTTCCTATTTCACAGTCATCCACCATGGACATCCTGGTGCATTGCCCAGACCCCGCTTTAGGATGTGGTTCTTACTCACCCAGCAGCTGATTATTGGCTGGGCATGGCTTCCAACAGCCCAATCCCTACATCTGTGTGTGTGTGTGTGTGTGTGTGTGTGTGTGCGCGCGCGTGTGATATTCTAAGACCCCAGTGGATGCCTGTGACCATGGTTAATGCTGAACCATACATATATGGAGATATGAATATATGAATACATATATGATGTTTTTCCTAAACATACATACCTATGATGAAGTTGAATTTATAAATAGTCATGGAAAGAAACTAATAAGAACAAAATAATTATAACATTATACCACAATAGAAGTTACGTGAATATGATCTGTCTCTCCAAAATATCTCATTGTTGGGGGCAACCCGCTTGGGCCCCCTTCCTGTCCCTCTCTTGGACAGGAGCTTTCTTTCCCTCAATAAATATATTCTGCTCATAAAAAAAATCTCATTGTTAGGGCCGGCAAGATAGCTCAGTGGACTAAGAGCCTGCTTAGACAAGCTCAGGGATGGTGTTCGATCCTTCATAACACATGCTGCATGGGCCTCCATGTCACACCAGCCCCAACCCTGGGCTCGTGCTGAGCCAGTCACTGAGATCCAGCATGGTGGTGCATGTCTGTCATCCCAGTGCTGGAGAGGCTGAAAACAGGAGCATCACTACGAGTCTGATCTGTGTAGTGAGACCCTGTAGACCCTGTACTAAACACATAAACAAACTAACTCCTTTCTCTCTCTCTCTCTCTCTCTCTCTCTCTCTCTCTCTCTCCTTTTCCTTGCCTCTTTTTTTTTATCAGTTCTGAACATTGGTAGGCAATTGCTCTACCATAGAGCTACATCTCCAACCCCTTAGCCTTCTTGTGATGATGTGAAATGATAGATGCTTACATGCTGAGATGAAGTGGGGCACTGGGGCACTGTGATACTGTGATGGACGCATTATATTAGGCTACTGATGTTCTGAGGACATGTTAGAAGTATGATCACCTGCCAGCATCATTACTCTTTTTTATTTTTTTAGACAAGGGCTCACTATGCAGTTCAGATTGGCCTTGAATTTGTGGCAATCCTCCTGCCTCATCCTCTTGAGTGCTGGGATTGCATGTGTGGGCTATCATACCTGGTTTAACATCACTGCTCTTGCACTTGTAGCCATTATTAAGTGAAATCAGATTACATGAATGCAAGGACTGTGATACCATGATAATCATCTCATAACTGAGACAGATACTAAGTGACAAATGGGAAGGCACATATACAGTGTGGATACACTGAACTGGAAGATGACTCATGTCCTGGGTGGAACAAGGTGAGAAGGTGTGAAATTCCATCATACTATTCAGAATGGCCTGCAATTTATTTTATTTATTTATTTTGTGGTACTGGAGATTGAACTCAAGACCTTGTGCTTGCCAGGCAAGAGTGTATGCCACTGAGCTACCTCCCTAGCCCTAGCCTGTAATTTAAAGTTTATGAATTATTTGGTTTTGGAAGTTACTATTTAATATTTTTGGGTTATGGCTGGCCCTAGGTAACTGAAGCCACAAAAGGTGAAACTCTGGATAAGAGTGACCTACAGTTCCTCCCTGAGCACCGCTTATAGCCCACAGGAGGTGTCTTAGCATACACAGCACTGTTGCCGCGGGCAGTGTGTGTCTGATGATTGGTTGGTACAGGAGTACAAAGGCCTCACCCTTGCCTCAGTTTGGGACAACTCTGAAAGTCCATTCCAGTGTCTCTATGGGATCAACTGGTTGCAATTTCAATGCAATTTAATGTTTCCCTCTTTCTCCAGTCATGTTTCTCTCACTTTCTTTGAAGGTCTTTCCATGGGGAAGGAAGCCTGTGTATACCAGTTGGCAAGGACAGATGATAGATAGGGCAACAGAGTTGTGCACAGAGCTATCAAATATGGCATCAGGATAGGAAAAGAAGTTGTCCCAGCTGAAGATTTATGGCAGAAGCTGCTTGTCCCCACATCATCCCACACTGTTGCATGTGTCCATTTATTATGTCCCCACCTCACCTTGGATGTTTTCTTAGCCCCCAAACTGACTCTGATTCCAGTTGCCCCCCCATCACAAAATGCTGAAACTGATCTTTTCAAATACTAATCTAAACACATATCTCCATTGACAACCTGAAGTACCTCTGATCAGTAACCTGATTTACTTTTTTTTTTTTATTGTTTTGGTTTTCTGATAAAGGGTCTCACTATGTAGTTTAAGCTGACCTTGAACTAACTATGTAGCCCAGACTGACCTCAAACTCATGGCAATCCTCCTGCCTCAGCTTTCTGAGTGCTAGGTAGTATGTACCACCATGCCCAACCTCACTGATTTTTTTCAATAGGCTCTTTTTAAAAAATCACTTATTCATTTGGTACAGTGTCTCATTACACAGCTCAGACTTATAGCGCTCCTCTTGTTTCAGCCTCGCCAATGTTGGGATTGTAGGTGTGCACCACCACACCCATTCTCGGTGGCTAGCATGGCACATTTTGGATTCCGGGGTTGGCATGGCACATGGTACCAGAGATTGAGCTTGGGTCCTTGCACTTGCCAGGCAGGTGCTTAGAACACTGAGCTATCTCCCCAGCACAATCTCATTGATTTTGGAATAGAGTCCAAATCCTTGATATATTCCACGGGTTCTGCATGGTCTGACTACTGCCGATGGGTTCAACATCTATCAGTATTTTTCCCACCTTCCTTGCATTCTACTTTCTGGCTACATTTTTTGTTTTTTCAACTTCATAAACATGTATACCTCTTTCCTGCCTCTGGTCCTGCTTACCCTATTTTCCAGGAATTAAGACTGTGTCATATTAACAACAATCTACATTTATTCATGCACAAAAATCTGCATGCTATTTTTTTCTGAAATGTCTTCATAGCTCTCTAAATGCAGAGTTCCAGCCTGATTTGTGACTCCATTTCCTGTAAAGGCATTGTCCTTTCATGTCCAGCAATAGAGCTTTCCTTAAATGAGCACTTCTTGTCCATGTAGCCTGCTTGTAGTGCATTAGTAACACAGCTGTAAATGATTTTTATCCATGAATTCTTCACCCAAGTCACAACCCCTTGCATACTAGATTTCACAAAGTTTTCATTAAATCAAGTGTTATTCACCATGGATGAATATAAACGAAATGTGGCATCTGCAACAATGAAGATGATTCAGATTTTATTTTACTTTATTTTTTTTTTCACAAATAGGACTTTATTTATCACTGTTAAAAATCTGGGTCTTAAACAGACTCTTGCACTGGTGGGTCATATTCATCAGCTCATTCAACTTTAGCTCCAGTCACATCCCCAGTGGTCTTTCCAGAGCTGCTACCTTCACCATGAAGCTCCATGAGTTTTCCCAATTTAAACTTGGGCTTCTTCGGCATTTTTACTTTTCTGACGAAGACATCATGAAAAAGGTAGATAGATTGGCAAGCCTTTTCTGTGTCTTTCCCAATACTGTCTGGAATCAGTTTATTGACCACTTCCTTCAAGTCATTTGTCTGCACCTCTCGGGTCATGATTTCCATCATCTTTTTCCTGATCTAGCGGACCTGTTGGTGCTGAGCGTAAGAGGTCTTCCATATCTGATTGTTGTGTTTTTTAATAAAGCCAACACAGAACAGTCGAAGCAAATAACCATCGGTAGTCTTGATATCAACATGCGCTTTGATCATGGTCTGCCATTTTTTGACCATGGAACACATTTTGTCCCGGGTGAGACCCATGCCATGGAAGTTAGTCAGGCAGTGTTTGCCCTGAACATCCTCAGTCATTAGCTTGAATTTTCTAGAAGCAACTTCATCATTCTTCAGATCAGCAAGGCTCATTCAAACACATGACCTTTGAGCCCATCAAATGCAATTTTGGTTCCTTGGGTTCTGGTGACACGTGTTTTTCCAATATTTCTTATGTTGAACATAGCTGGTGTCTTCACATCATACCAGTCTTTTTTAGAAAATGGATCAACCACTTTCTTCTTGGCTCCTTTTTTGCTGCCTTTTGTAAGGCGCTTGTTCTTGCCTACCGCCATGGTGCTGCTCAGAGAGCCAAAAGGGCCAAATTTTAAAAGAAAATACTAAAATATACTATAATTGGACGAACTTATATGATAAGGGAGACACAAAAAAAGACAAATACTGTGTAAATTCCGGTTATATCAGATATTTAAAGTTGTCAGAACCATAAAGACAAGACAATAGAATAATGATTTTCAGGGATGAGGGAGATGAAGAAAAGAACAGTTATTTGATGGTATAAAATTTCAGTTTTACAAGATAAAAAGGTGTAGAAAAGAACAGTGGTACCTGTGTCTCTCCGGCAGTACTGGTCCGCGCCCTCGGAGCTCCTTGTCGCCATGCCTCGGAAAACTGAGGAGATCAAGGATTTTCTGCTCACAGTGAGGCGGAAGGATGCCAAGTCTGTCAAGATAAAGAAGAACAAAGACAATGTGAAGTTTAAAGTTCGATGCAGCAGATACCTTTATACCTTGGTCATCACAGACAAAGGAAAGGCAGAGAAGCTGAAGCAGTCGTTGCCCCCAGGCTTGGCGGGAAAGGAGCTGAAATGAACGAGCCATATTGATGTGAATTATATTAAAAATCTTCAAAACTCAAAAAAAAAAAAAAAAAGAAGAAAAGAAAAAAGAAAGAAAGAAAAGAACAGTGGTAATAGTTGCATGGTTTTTTATTATAGTTGTATGGTGCTCCCCGGTTCGGCCAAAAAAAAGAAAAAAAAAAGTTGCATGGTGTTATGAATGTTCTTAATATCACCGAACTATAGACACTTAAAATGGTTAAGATCACAAATTTCTTCTAGTGTACTTTAAAAAAATACAATTAAAACTGGAAAATATGAAACAAAATAAAATGAGGGTTCAATATAGTATATAAGGTTTTAGTTTTCACTAATCACCATATTAATTTCATTATTGGCTTATATGTTTGGTTTCTCAGGGAACCAGATCCTTTTCTTTAAGGTTAATTTGGTTTTTAATTCAATGTTATAAACTACTATTTATACTTTATAAAGGATGATCAAAATATATAATGAATGTTTAAATTTTTAAAACATTACTGTAAGGGAAGTAAAAATATTAAGATGTGTTTATGTACACATACCAACACCCCATGATGAATGTAATCATTATATATGGCAAATGTGTACTGACAAAAATTAAAAATTTGGTTCTACTCTATTTCACTGTTCTTATACTGTAGAGTATATTTATTTTTCTACTTTTACTTGGCCCAAACTTGTTCTGCAAAGCACATTTCTTTTCCTACTTTTAATAAATTAAAACCACCCTGCATCTTCCCCTCCAAAAAAAAAAAAAATCAAGTGTTATTTGAAGACTTATGAGATAGGAGTGAGTTACCTTATGCTTGTTAGGAATGATGTTCCAAACTTGAAAAAAATAAATCAAAGAGGATATCAGAAAATGGAAAGATATCTCTTACTTTTGGATAGGAAGAACCAACATTGTGAAAATGGCCATATTCCCAAAATTGTTACACAGATTTAATTCAGTTCCAATCAAGATTAGCATACCTCACAGAACTAGAGATAACATTCCTAAAATTCATTTGGAACCAGAATAGACCTAGAATAGTAAAAGCAATCCTGGACAAAAAGACAAGTCAGAGAGTATCACAATTCCTGACTTGAAATTATACTGTAAAGCTACTGTGATAAAATCAGCATGATACTAGCAAATAGAACAGACATGAGGATCAGATTAGAAGATCCAGACATAACTTCAAACACACTCAGTCAGCTTATCTTTGACAAATGGGCCAAAGATGTTCACTGAAAGAAAGATACCTCTTTAAGCTTGATAAGGTAAATCGTTTGATAATAACAATAAGCTTGTCTTCTGGATGGTTAACAACCTAAGTTTGCAGACCAAAATTAGAGAAAAAGGAGGGCTGCAAGGAAAGCAATATTTTGGCCCTACCCTTCTAAGGTCAATTAAGACTCAGGACATATGAGAACTTGTACTGTAACGTCATGTACCTCGGTAGTGTCCCAGATTTTCTGATCAAGAAGGTTATGGGGCCAAAGAGGAAATTGATCGATGACGTGGAGTGTGCCTAAGGAGAGTCACATGAGGAGAAGACACTCTCTCAGGCTTTCACAGAGAGCACATTGGCCAAGCAATGGCCGTGACTCATCCACATGGCTGCACTGACAAAGGTTCTACAATCTGAGGTACAGGATCTCAGGATAAATCCTGAGGGCATTTCACTGACCTTCTCAAACCAAAAAGCTACAACTCTTGTTGCATAGGTTCTGCTTTACCTTGGTCTTAACCATCCAGTAGAAAAGTATGAAGATGAAATATAGGAAGTAAAGCCATGTTGTT